CCTGGGAGCCATCTTTTGCATTGGGCCTTCAGACCTGCCACATTTTCTACTGTGGGAAAATGGGAGGCGGGATTATATGGAGTATGGGAGAGATATAGTCAAAATTCCATTTTATTAGAGATGTCACATAGGCACATCTGGGAAAACCCGAATCTGAAAGTTTCCAGGTTTTCCCCATCGAAAAGAAAGTTCAAGTCCCTGCCCAGCACCCACCTGTCCATCACATGACCCAATCAGGCACCGTCCAAACTGGAGATGCCTCCCAGTCACCTCATCACAGCTGCCATGCAAGGTGACCTTGACTCTCTGAAAGGAATGTTATTTTGACTATATCTCTCCCATACTCCATATAATCCCACCTCCCATTTTCCCACAGTAGAAAATGTGGCAGGTCTGAAGGCCCAATGCAAAAGATGGCTCCCAGGTCTGACACCCAAACTTAAACTTGGAATCAATTTATCTACTCATGTCATTCAATGAGGGTGACTGTGGCTCAAAGGATACCAGGAACACTGGAAATCACAGCATTGAGAAATTCTGATGCTTGTTTGGAGATGGGGAAGAGAAGAGAAAACAATTATTTTTCTAATGAACGGATGTGTGAGAAGACTTTCTTCTCAATCTATCCTGTCCCAAATCACCCCAAAACCAGAGTACTACCCCTTCATTGCATACTGCCATATATAACTCAACCACTGGAGACCAAAGTGTGTGCACACATATGAGCACATGTGTATGCTGTACTCCAGCTTCAGAAAGCTATCCACTTCTCCCATAGGGATAAACAGTCAGGCTAGTCAACCCGTGGCAAGCTATTGATTTGATGGAAACTAGGGCATAAAAAGCCACTAGATTTAAGTATTCATGCAAATCTATTAATAAATAATTTTAAGTTCACTCACCCAAAGAGGGGTCAAAATGTCACATCTTGAGTTGATGCATTACACCCCATTGTTTGCACCCTGTAACTAATCTAATAGTATTATTTATAATGTTTGGATTATTCAAATAGCTAAAATTTATAGATTCTTAAGAAGGAAAAATATATTTTCCCATACAAGTTGTTTTTATCTTTTTGTATACCATGGAGATTTTTTATTAATACTTTAAAAAATGTGGGTTGGGATAATGAGTGGGGTTTTGTTGCAGATTTGAATCAAGAAGATCCAAGGCCATTAAGGCTAAATCTCCCAAGAATTTTTTTCATCATTACACCCAAAAGGGAAATGCTACTCATAATTTTGCAGTTAGATCATCTTTCATGACTCTGACATGCAGACTCCTTTCCCAGAGAATTGTCACCTGCTATAACATAAGGCAGTGTTCATGTATGCTTGTTATGTATTAACATTATAGAACCGGAAACAGAATATTATGATCAACTTTGAAAGCAAGAGAAATGTAGAGCAATACAATGTAATGACCTTTGAATGAAACAGAGGATCAGCTGGACAGCAGGAAAGTGCACGCTCACACACAAAAATTACAACAGTACCTTAGATCCAAAGGGTCACTTTTTGTGACTCAGCATTAAGATGTGAAGTGCAGCACAGCCTTTTAATGGGATGCAATTCCATTCTAGTTATGTTCATCTTAAAGGTTTAAAGTGGAATTCCAAGAAAGGCTAAATAATTGGCAAGTCGTTGAAAGATGGCTTTTCTTTTCAAAGAATGGTAGATTCAGACCTGCAAATCAGATTAGGAAATAGAGACTGAAACTGTATTAGTTTTATTTTTTTAACAAAACCCTGCATTGCACTACATACAATACATAGTTGCTAACAACAGAAGTGTTACAATAAGGAACAGGAAGTTTAACAAACAACAGAACTAAAAAAAAATCTACCTAGTATCAGTTTAAAAAATAACATTTTTGAAACAACCAATGAACAAAAGGTGAAAACGATATAAATGTAATAAATGCACTAAACCCTCAGAAAGGCACCCAGACATATCTATTGATAAATGAATGGAGGAATTAGAGACAGATCTTTTTATGTAGAACAGACGTGAGATTTTTGGTAGTGGTTTTTTGGACAGGATGCTGATTGAATATTCTTCCTTGCCTTCTTCTATTGGAAACAATGGAACTTCAGGGGTTAGTAATGGATTATTGCCCTGAACAAGACATTGGAACAGATTACCTCTAGGATATTTTCCACATCATGTATTCTGAATCTAAAAAAGTGAACGATTATAAATGGGCTTCAAATGGTTTAATGAGGAATTTGGAGATCCTTGTGCTATGGAAATACTCCAGCACTGGAAGAAGAGGGTGCATATTAAAATATCCTGGGAAAAGGCAATACAAAGCCATGATTTTTACCAAGGAAACCACACACAGATGCCATCACTAAAGCCAAGATGGCACTTTTATGTTTAGGATCACACCAATATTCCCAATTACACCACTATGTTAAATAAATTTATTATGCAATTGCCAGCAGCTTCGAATGTCATTCTGTAGCAGAAATACATACATGCTATAAATTCAACAAATTAGTATGCTTGGTTGATTTGAAAAGTCCTTTAATAAATTTCAGGTCATGTTGCTTGTTTGTTAATCAACCATAACAGCTATCCCCTAAATTTGATTTACCGTAATTGCAAATTTTTGTATCTTTGTAAATGAGGGTTTGAACTGGGCAATTAATATTTGATGTTAGGATAGTTCAGTGTTTTTCAAATTCCGCAACTTTAAGATATGTGCACTTCAACTCCCCAAATTGGAGATACATATTAAATATCTAGAAATATATTCATAGAGTTATGTTTCCTTGGCGCTTCCATTGATCATTTCATTCATAACCACGATTGGCTATGGCACTTCATCTCATTCATACTCAAATCAATTGGGAAACGCTCAGGGGATAGCGCCATGAGATGACGTCACGCGCGCCTAGCGGAAGCGGAAGTGAAGCTTCCTTCCCCCCCCTCTCTTTCTCTCTCTCCGGCGAGGTTCGGAATTGGAACATGGCTCCCAAGTCCTCCCGTCGAACGGGTTCGCATAAGACGCATTCCTTGGCCCGCCAGTGGAAAACGAAGCGGCGGCGGCGAGATCTGGATCAGATCCACCACGACATGTTGCCTGAGAACGCGACGAAGCTGCTGCGCCAAGAGCTGGATCCCGACCTGCCTGGCAATGCCCAGCACTACTGCCTGCATTGCGCGTGCGTCAAGAGAGAAAGGCGGGGGGAAGGGGGAGAGAAGGGATTGGTCCCCGTGGAATACCCCTTGCATATAGAGATAAGAATTAGACCCGACCAACTTCTTCGGTTGTGGGATAGAAAACTTTATGTGCCTTTAAGGCAAAAGTCTCCAAACTCTGCAACTTTTAACACTTGTGGACTTCAACTCCCAGAATTCCCCAGCCAGCCTGGCTGGGGGATTCTGGGAGTTGAAATCCACAAGTCTTAAAGTTGCCAATGTTTGGAGACCCCTGCTTTAAAAGCCAGTGTTTCTCAACTTTTGACTATCGTAAGATAGGTGGATTTCTCCCAAAATTCCCCAGCTAGCATGTTGTTTGGGGAATTCTTGGAGTTAAGGTTCTTGGCTTTAAGTAGCCAATTTTGAAAAATGCTACTTTTAGACATAAATGAGAGTTACCTATCAAAATGTAAGATTTTAGCTGCAGAATGCATGCAGGAAAGCTAAAAAAAGCTGGGTTTTTTTTCCTTTTTCAAAGAAAGGGCTGAATAAGTCCTATTTTATGGGTTTTAAAAAATTAGGATGCAAAAAAATAACACCTCCCCCCAACACTTAGGCAGTTGCTAAGTGGTAAGAAAGAACCAGCGATTTCTGCATTATTTTTGCCCTC